ACAAAAAACATAATTACTAAATAAATAAAAACAAAATGGAACTAAAGCTGAAATAAAAACAAATTATAAAATAAATAAACTTACATTTTAAGCATCAAGTAATATATATATATCATTATTTGTTTTTTTTTAAATAATCAATATTTAAAAAGAAAAAAACTAATAAAAATTACAAAAGCACTAAAATAACTAAAAATAAGCTAAAACTGAAAATATAAAAATAAAAGTCAATAGAGTGCTGCAGTCTTGACATTCAAATCTGCCACTGGATTCCCACAAGATTTTCCTATGGGTTTTTATAATAGGATTTTTCAATTTATGGGTGTGGTAAATATAAATTGACGATACTTGGATGTTTTGCAGTCACGGCTCAAAATATTACATTCAAAATATTAATAACTAGAAAACAAGTATAGAAATAAAATACTAAAATAACCATGTAGTGCATTCAGAAATTTGTAAAAGTAAATCTCACCCCAGAAGTGAGAGGGTCCTGACAGCGGAGGTCCGACCCCAGGAATCCCAGCATACCCCACTGCTTCCTCCCACAGCTGATGGGGCAGAGGTGGAGGTATCTCCAGTTCCTCTAAAGCTCTGGCCTCCACTTGGGGTTGCTCATTCGGTGGTGCCACCGGCTCTTCCTGTGGCTGCGGCTCCGGCTCCGCCTCCTCCTGCCCTACAACAGCCAATCGGGACGCTGGACTAGGCGGGTCCTGAGGCGTTTCTGAGGGTGTGGTCTGTATGCAAAGTGCAGCGTTGGGAGTCAGTCCCAGAGACCGGAGGGAGCAGGTTAGCTCAGCTTCCCCAAAGCGCTTTCGAGGAAACCCTTGCAGGAGGGAAAAAGCGGGTAGTGAAGGGTGGCGGCCGGCAATGTATTCGACGACGTGACTTAAGGGAGTGTCTGCAGGAAAACGCTCACGCATTGATTCCCCAGACGGAAGACGAATCTATAACAGACACAAACAAAACGGACAGGTTTGACTTCATGCGAAATAACGCTAACAGCAGTTGTTAGAAAGCAGTGGAAAAAAGATGTGCTCTTGCACCATAAGGATGCAGTGGTTGTCCAAGCTGGTCTCCACACGTCCACCCAGTCTCTGTCCCTGTCCACTCTCGGCCGTGGCTTCGTTTTGGGTCTTCTCCTGTTGACTGCGCCGGTCCTCTGCGATCCTCTTCAATACCAACTCACGCTCCTGATCAAAGGACAAACCGTTACTGAACTGGGAACCAAAAATTATCTTGTAAAGCATGAAACTGTGACAGTTGATGGAGCAAAAACACAGATATATATTTTAAAATGTAATATTTATATTTTAAAATATAAAATATGATAAAATATATTTATATTAATTATACTAACTGTATTATAGAATAAATGATAACATTTGACAATTCTATTAATTTACATATATATAGTCCTTTTTGAGCTTATATATACACACATATATATATATATATATATACACATACACACACACTTAAAATAATATCTATCTTGTATATATTTATAAATATAACATTATTATACATGTACATATATTAATTAAATTAAAATTAAATAACAAATTAAATTAATTATTATTATTTTACTAAATACAGAGAGAGGTATCAAATTTATTAATTATGTTTTAAAGTATTTACTCTTCTCTCTACAGTCATTTAATATAAATTCTCTCTCAATACAATTGTCTTTTAATAGCACAAAAAACAAAAAACTAATTATTTTAAACAACCTTTTTAAACAGCCACTGGTCACCAATTTTGTTGTATTTAAAAGAACAGATTTTGTGTTCCACAGAAGAAATCATGAAATGACGTGGGCGTGAGTAGATTCATTTTTGAGAGAAGCAACCCTTGCTTATGGAGCTTTATTGTGAGAACATGAACCCTTTCACTGATTCACCTGCTTCTTCTGTCTCTTTTCTGCCCGCGCCTCTTGGGCCACTCGCTGCCTCTGCTGCTCGTGGAAATTACTCTTATCCTGCTTGATCCGTGTTTCCAGGGGTGGATGCTCTTTTGCTGTGGGAGCGTTCACAGAAGGTGGTGCCAAGACCAATGAAGGACCTAAAAGCAGAAAATTCCTCTGTATTAAATAACATTTCAGATTCCAGTATTAAAGTACTGCTAATGATCTGCAGCACACCAAGCACAAAATCACATGACCTGTGAGTCACATGCGAGTTTATTTGCACAGTAAATCACGTTTTCCTTCCCAGAAGAATGTTGTCACTCTATTGAAAGAAGTCTGTTTGTATCATACAAATGAGTAAATGAACAAACTGTGCTGTTAGTACCTGTTTCGTCAGACTGTGAGTTGTTGTTGGAGCAGAGAGCATCTTTGGGAGGGTTAAATGCAGAAAATGCCGTCTCTAAAGGACCTGAAGGCTGCTTGACTAGTTTATGCCGTGGACTCCCACCCTGCAAAAGCCTTCAGAGCAAATGTGAGAATAAATGAGAGGGCTGGTGCTTAATCATGAACAATGCTGTCTAATAACAACACTTTCAATATTCCCTAAAGCCACTGCATATAACAAGACAGGTTTATGACTAACCTAAGCTATTACATAACAGGCCACACTTTTTTCTCTTGGGATAAAAGCTTATTTCATTATTTTCATCCATAAAAACATTTACCATTCAGCTGCTTCTGGTACAGAGAAGAATCCGGCCTGCATCGCCGCCTGTATCTGATCCTCACTGAAGCCCATCTCAGTGAGAGTGCTGACGAACCCTCCTATGGTCTAGAAAACACCACAACAATATGAGCTCCAATGCAAAGGAAGGGGACTTTGCTTAAATAAGATCATTTTGATTTCACATGTTTGGAGATGATATTCACATACTTCCACTTGTGTTATTTCAGAATTTTTAGGACTAGTCAACTAAAAATTTATTTCAATGGATGAATTTAATAATAATATTATATATACACATATACACACACACACTTTGTATTAATGTTTGTAATTTTTTATCATTAATGGAATTTATTATATATATTTTTGTAATGTATATATATATATAATTTTATATTTCATCATTTAATATTTCATATAAAAATGACACTTCATAAGGTTGTACATCCATATATAATAAAATAATATAATAAAGAATCCTGTTTTAAGCCTGCTTTAATGCAGTCACTGCCATTCATGCATTTGGCAGATGTTTTTATCCAAAGAAACTTAAAATGTATCAAATGAGTATATTTTATTTATAACACATCTCCAAATAAAAGATGTAGACGCAATCAGCTCAAATAAAAGGCTGTAAAAAAAAAAGAAAAAAGGTCTGTTTAACACGTGAAGGTGATGACATGTCCAGAACAAACCTGAACACTTCTCATACTCATAGCATTGATCATGCACACTGCACTGCAATGCTGACTTCACAGGGGACTTTGCCCTGATACCTACCTTGAGACAGTTTGGTTTCTTTTTCTGTTCATGCATTCTTGTGGGACATCAAAAGTGCCATATTTGATAGAAGTACGATATTTGAATATCAGCAGTGTCTCCATTTGATCAGGATTGACGTTAAGAGCATGCATTAGTTCGCATACAAATATGATTTATTTCCATATTGTTTTTATTTCATTCTAATCATGTTGCCCAGTGAGAGTAGGCCAAGACAATTCAGTTTTAACCACCTGACGAACACTTAAAACACCTAAAAAGGTGAAATTTTTATATTATCTGATTGCATCGGTCATTATTCTATATTTATATTTAAGGCAATGAACATGCATGCATGCAAGAAAAATCACTCATTTTCAATGAACGTCTCAAGAGGCTTTCCTTCTGACTTAGGCCTACTGTTCATTTCCTCGTAATCTTAAAGAGTTACAGTAACACTGCCTGTATAACTAAAAGCATCACGAGACAATAATAAAAGGTTGTGCATGATGCTGGACTACAGAAACTTAATTCACTTGTCACAGTTTATCACGTTTTATCCATGTCGTGTAAGCTAATATAGCAATGCAATAAGCTTTACAAAAACATTACGACCGATTCTGATGAACCATAGGTTTCTCTTACCGCTGTGGAGTCCATAATTGTATTTAATATCCTCAAAAATGCTTGATATATGGTTTTGTTGCTACTTTGCAGAAGATGTTTATTGATTGTCCGCACACACAGTAGAATGGTGGTCGTTTACGTCACGGGTTCTGCTCCGTCCAGACTGCACGCTCAACGCTGATTGGATGACTGACAGTTGGAAACGCCCCTTAATGACCTGTCAATCACAGCTCGTCCGGATGAATTTAAAGGAGCAGGCGCGTCTCTACCCAGTGGACTTCATTAACATTTACTAAAGCGTTCATTTTAGACCGTCACTTAACCAAAAACAATTACAGTTTGTCTACAAAAACAACTAGTTTCTTTGTCTGTGGGTTTTATTTGACTTTTTTTTACATGCAATAAGTATTATTGGCCGGCAGATGTCATATTTGGTCAATAAGGGCATGAAACTAAAATCAATAAAATATTTCCAACAAATTGTCAGTGAAAGGATGTGCTTGACATTTAGAAATGTCACTCTAGGAATTGAAACTTAATTTTATATGAGCCATTTTCTATTCGGGGTTTACAACACTTTTACTACAATTTGAGTGAAAAATAAAGAGTTCCCATAAATTAAAGAAAAATTGTTGTTTGTATATTTTTAGTTAGTTGCTTATTAATAGTTGTATATAAGGTGTACCGAATTCGTGGAATGTGCAATTTAACGCGTGGATTACAATAAACGAATTGTTTCAGTTTATTAGTTTACCAGACACGCGTTAATTTCAAGTGCAGTCATTTTTAAGCATCATTGCTATTAAACCATGTCATTGCGCTTTTATAATTTAAACTAGATATAAAGTTGCAAAAATTAAATAAAAGGTTGGCATTACGCGCATCTCTTTTGACGTGTGCATTCATGCATACAGTGTAAATAAAAGCCTGGAGAACCTTGTTGTTTCTTTCTGAAAAGGGAAGGAGCTCCTCAGTCAGTCGAGATGAAGACACGCACGCGAGCGTCAGATGGGGCTCATCAGTGAGGAGGGGAGCTCGGCTGAGGTAGGACGCATTTCAGACATGTTTAGGCTTTTATACACTCAGATACGAACAGCCTGTGAGCAGCATCAAGAGTTCTGTTCGTGTCGGCCAGGTATATCTTGTCCGGGTGCGTAAAAAGTGATTTTCTGACTGGATTGTAAGCACGCGCGCGCGTCGGCGTCAGTGCTCGGTTAGCTCGCGCTAGCTGAAATAAATAACTATAAACCGGGAAATCTTAAATGAACATGGGCTGAGAAAACGGCGTTCTGTGGTGATGAAGCCGTGTGCTTCCGTCTCCTGGGCTTGTTTGTGCGAGTCGTGGTCGCTGGACTGCTGTCATATAAACGCGAGTACACAGACATAATCATAAAAGCCCACTGCCACGTGACACGCGCGGGGAAAATACAGAAACACCGCGGGAAAATAGAACTACAGCAACAAGTCGTCCAGTGACCTCATTTATATATAGAACTTGAATACAGACACCGTTTATATATTGTCTGGAAATGTTATATCGATATTTCAGTGTGTGTATGTGTGTGTGTGTATATATATATATATACACACACAGTGTTGGGGAAAGTTACTTTTAAAAGTAATGCGTTACAATATCGCATTACTCCATAAAGTAACTAAGTACGTTACTTTGTATGGAAAGTAATGCGTTTCGTTACTTCTGCGTTACTTTTTAAATCTGGACAGGGCTTGCTTGTTTGTTTGTAAAATAAAAAAGTTCTATTTTTGGCAAATATAAAAGCCTTTTCACACCAAAAGTGAAATGAATCAGCCTCAGGCTGAAGGGAAAGTAAATTTACATCCGTACAGTAGAATGCAGAAGAAGAAATTTCAACACACTTCAGCAATAAAAAAAGACACAAATGTTTGTCTAGAGTAATTTGTGCTTATTAGTACGGTTGAACTGGATCGTCGAAGGTCAGAAGCAAAGACATTGCTTAATAGAATGGGATTAAATACATAACGCATATTTTTATTGTTTAACATTTAATTATTGCAGGTTTTTTTATTTTGACAAATACTGAATCTGTTTTTTTTTTTTTGTGAGAGATTAATTAATGCATATTCATATTTATTGTAGAACTACAGTAACATCTTCTGATTTCTCTCAACATGGGGACAGGAGAACTGTCAATCAATAAAATGAAGAAAAAAAAGTAACTTGCGTTACTTATTTGAAAAAGTAACTCCGATATTCTCTTGTAAATTAAAAAGTAATGCTTTACTTTACTAGTTACTTGAAAAAAGTAATCTGATTACGTAACTCGCGTTACTTGTAATGCGTTACCCCCAACACTGTATATATATATATATATACACAGTCTGACTGACTAACTGTCTATCTGTCTGTCTATCTATCATACTTTGTTCAACTTTTGTCATTTTATACTGTGTGTGTGTGTGTGTGTAGGAAAAGTTAAAAATCAATCTAGAAACTGCACCTGACTGTTTCGATTTTTTTCCCCTCCATTTGTTGTCCGACATTGTCGTCAGATTTTATAACACACACACACACACACACACACACATTTATAAAAATACATTATTAATAATAAACTATATTTAAGGAAATCTCATGCTTGGAAATTTTGTGGCATATATTATTTTTTTTAGTTATAGTTTTTCCTGTGGCGAGTTAAATGATCACAAAAATTACTAGTAAAAGTTAATATCAATCTAGAAATTGCACCTGACTTTCTGTCTCCATTTGTATGATTTTTTCCCCCTCAGTTTTTTGTCAGACGAATGGCACAATCCTTTGTTTATAAACCTCGAATCTTTAAGCTGTCGTGGTTGGTGTGTGCTTGTTTCCAGAGGTCAGCTGGATTTAGGTCAGATCAGTGTTGTAAAGCCATCAAGGAGTCAGATTTCTTAGAGGAACAAAGCACTGACTTGGTGGAACCAGTACCTGCCAACTTTAATTTGGCAACTTTGCCTTAGTTTTTGTAGTGTGATTAAGGCATAATGCCAGAGGCCAGCAAATCGGTGCAGAACCGCGAAGAAAGAAATATCTTTGTAGCTCTTTCTCTATCTGTGCTTATCAGAGCATGACTGATATTTCAACCTCCTTTAGTAATACAGTGAAGATGGCCATTTGTAAAATTTTAGCTGCTTATTTATATAATACATTTTTTATTTAAATGGATGACATTATTAGAGAAAAATGCAGTTAATTATTAAATCTGTTTGATTTTTCTTAAGACCGTTTTCATCTGATTTACCTCCTGCGGATTGGTTTTACAAACTCTAGACTTTAATTTAAAAAAATAGTAATGATATAATGAAATAAGCTTTATTCCTGCTAGCATTCCGATGCAGATCAGCTGCATTTTCCTGCGGGGTCAAGGATATTTTCAAAAGTCCTGCATTGCGCTTTCGTAATTGTCTGCCCAGCTGGTGACGCTAATCAGCTGAAAAATATTTTTAAGGCCGTTGTTCTCACGTAGACCACGATATTACAAATCTGACACGGCTATTTTGCGTATCGATCTGCCTTGGGTAGCATGACTTAACACTTGATCAGGGGCTCCTGTGTGGTTTTTACAGTACTGTATTTCCCAGGATATGTGTTACTGTATTCGCTTTGTCGTGAGCCGGTTCAATATTTCATTGAGATTGTTTGTTTTGGTGTGGCTCAAGGTATGAATGACAGTGTTCCTCTGGTCAGGGCTTGCTTTGTTGGGTTTGTTCGCTGCTGTCATATTACAAAGACGTGATTGTCCGCTCCAAGTCAAACACAAAGAGTGTGAGAACTCAGGTGGAGCTTTTGTGCGTTCGTAACCCGAGTCTGTGAAACCCCTGCTGACCGGTGTGCAGAGAAAAACGCCTTTAGAGAGCTGTCCCAGGGCTGTTTAGTCTTGAAGTGATAATTAAATAAGCTTAGTTTGAGTTTCACCTGTGCTCCTGTCGTTTCTTTCTTGCACAGCATTAGAATAATTCGTAAACACATTTTTTTGGTAGCTCAACACTTGCATCTTGCATTTTGCATTTGGTATATGAAGATCCGATTCATCAGTATCTTTCACAGATTCAGTACCACAAACCTCACAAACTTTGGCACATCCAGTCACTAGTAATTCCTTGGAGGTGCTAATTGTAGTGGCCTGGGAACATGTAAAAAAAAAAAAAGACTCCCTGTGGCCTGATAAAATCCTATGCACCCTGAGTCCTGGAAAGTAGGCAGCAGAAAGCCAATCAGATCGCAACTGCCGTTTTTTCAGTCATTTTTGTATGTATCCATCAGGTGGTCTGTCTGAGATTAGGCTTCCCCTGCCATTTATGTTTTTTACACAATTCACAGTTACTTGATGCAGTGTGCAATAGAGCATTAATCACTGTCCGATTATTTATTTTCTTTTTTTTATCTCTCTCTCTCTCTCTCTCTCTGTGTGTATATATAATTGATATACTACTATAGTTTTTGATTTTTCTAAGTAATTTTGTTTTTCTGTCATTTTTATTACTACTTAAAAAAATATGCCTATATAGTATTTATGTGTATTTATTAGGTTTAGTTTATTTATTTTTATATGTTTTCGTATTTAAACAAAAGTAATGTTATTTTTTTAATATTTTGTTATTTCAATTAACTTTTTTTGGGGGGGGGTTTAGTTAATGTAAATGACACTGCTTGCAGCATTTTATTTTATTTTTAATCTATTTATACAAAATACTACAGAATTTTGATATCGGCCATTTTTTGGTTAATGGCCATAACATGAAAATAATTATAGGCTAATTGTTATTGACCAGAATTGTCATTTCTGTTTATTAATTGCCAGAAATTAGTCAGATAGACGGTTGCTCAAGATGTTTCAGCACTCGCTTACCCTAGCAATGAACTGATAGTTGAGATTCCTCAACATCTGACCTCACCTTATGCTGCTGTGGGAGTTACAGCACTAATGTTGTGAATTAAACTGTTCTGTTTGTCAAGCGGTATGACAAACTTGAGTTAATGTCATAAGCTACCTTTTATAATGACACCGTATTGACACCTTTAGGAGCGGTTTTCATCAGAATCATTGAGGAATTCTTGTTTAGTCTGGTTTTGTGTATGGTCTTGTGTAGGGGTGCTCCAATCAGGATTTTTGAGGCCGATCGCCGATCACAGACAGCAGTATCTGCCGATCCGATCACCGATACCGATCTTTTTAAAGCCATCTTTTTATCATTTATAACTATTTATACTAATACTACAGTCAGGATTTTTAGACCTTTATTCAGGGCCTGAATTTCATTTTTGAAAATGAGGGGAATTTCCCTCTTTGGTGTCTCTTGTGAGAGGGGAAGCAGCTTTCACAGAAGAGTCCGCTACTGATCCGTAAATCTTTATTACAAGCAATCTTGCGGTTCATAAAGAACTTTGTTTTCCTAGCTCCACAAGTGCCATCTATTATTGCCTTGTTTATCTAAAAGTGCTCTTTCCCTTTAAACCTGTTGACTGTGAAACACAGTAGACTTTAATTATATGCATTTATGGTGTAATTACTACATTTTCATGTCAATCTAGGGCTGGACGATATGGCCAAAATTTATATCACGATATAGTTCTTAATTTTGGTCGATACGATATAATTCCGATATCGATATGAACACTATTAAAAAAGTCTCATAAAAACGGCCAAGAACGGCCACAACAGATGTCTGTACCTACAAACTTAAGAAAAATGAATTTGCCAACTCTATGAAACCTACTCCTATAAAGCTATATAATATTTTCGGAAATAAATGGCGCAAATAAATAAATGTTCACCTTTTATTGGTATTTAGCCTTCATACAAACAAGAAATGTGAAATCACTGTCAAATAAATCTCAGACTCTACTGATTAATATGAATATTTTTTACTTCAAACTATAGGCTAACATACCAGTCAAAAGTTTTTGAACCGTAAGATTTTTAATGTTTTTTAAAGAATTCTCTTCACCAAGCCTGCATTTATTTGATCCTAAATACAGCAAAAACGGTAACATTTTGAAATATTTTTACTATTTAAAATAACT